CCGATACCACAGTTTCTTTATTCATTCATCTATTGAAGGGCATCTAGGTTGGTTCCACAGTTTAGCTATTGTAAATTGTGCTGCTATAAACATTGATATGGCTGTGTCCCTATAGTATGCTGATTTTAAGTCCTTTGGGTATAGATGGAGGAGAGGGTCAGCTGGGTCAAATGGTGGTTCCATTCCCAGTTTTCCAGTCTCCATACTGCTTTCCAGAGTGGTTGCACCAATTTGCAGTCCCACCAGCAGTGTTTGAGTGTGTCCTGGCTCCTTTTCTTTTCTCTGACGTTGAGTGTCAGAGTTGGGGGTGGGGGGTGGAGGAAGAAGGAGAAGGGGGTCCCTGGGAACTTCCTTTCCCCAGGGCCATATGGGGACTTGCTGTGCTGGCTGGCATGGAGCAGTCACAGCTGGGTACTATGTGTGTGTGTGTGGGGGGGGCAAAGCTTCCAGGATGTCGTTACCAGGAGGCTAAGGAGCACCTTCCTTTTCTCTTATTTTTGTCCTTTCTCATTTCCCCTCTCTCTGATTGATCTCTCTCCTTTCATCTCATTTTCTCTCTCTCTTTGGTCTTCCTTCCTTCTCTCTCCTGTTTATTCTTTTACTTTATTTCCCCTCTTTTTCTCTTTTCTTCTCTATTTCTGTTCCTTTCTTGTTTTTGGCACAGGGGATTGAACTCTGAGGCACTCGACCCCTGAGCCACATCCCCAGCCCTATTTTGCATTTTATTTAGAGACAGGGTCTCACTGAGTTGCTTAGCACCTCGCTTTTGCTGAGGCTGGCTTTGAACTTGTGATTTTCCTGCCTCAGCCTCCTGAGCCCCTGGGATTACAGGCCTGCTGCCACCACCTAGGTCTTCCTTTCTTTATTGGGGCTGGGGGAGTAATCAGGGATTGAACTCAGGGGCACTCAACCACTGAGCCACATCCCTAGCTGTATTTTGTATTTTATTTAGAGACAGAGTCTTACTGAGTTGCTCAGCGCCTTGCCATTGCTGAGGCTGGTTTTGAACTAGTGCTCCTCCTGCCTCAGCCTCCTGAGCTGCTTGGATTATAGGCGTGTGCCACCCGCGCCCAGCTCTCCCTTTTGTTTATTGAAAAGGTCCTTTCTCTTTCTCCTGTAATCTCTATCACCTCTCTTTGCCCCCTTGCCTTCCCCTCATCTTTTTACATTTCCTGATTTTTCTTCCTGGCCCCTCAGGTTAGTCGCAGAGGAACAGCCTTGTCAGAGGCCTGCAGGTGCCCTCTCTGACGTCTGCCCACACACAGGTCTTTAGCCAATTTGGTTCTGCGGACTTTGTAATGAGCCTTACTTCACTCCTTGATGGTGTACCAAGCGTGGGTTTTGGAGATGGAGACCTTGAGATGGGCATGGAACCAATTTTGGGAAACCATGCTCTGAGTACTTTGTGTGGATTCAACATAATTCTCCCTCTTCCAGTCCCTGCCTTCATAACTACCTCTGCCTTCAACAAGGAGAGAACAAGACAAGCTGCGTCTCCACAGTGGTCTACGCACACAGAGGATGCCGGGTAATGTGGTGCTTTTATTATGTTTTTCCAATTGTATAGTCAAGTCTATTCAGAAGAGTCAACTTGGTTCCACTGTTTTCTTCTGTTAGTTGTTCATTGACTTCCAGGAAAATAGGACCCTTCACCAGACTCAGAATGTACTGATCCTCCATTTTTGTGGGACTGTATTTATCTGTCTCTGATGCCTGATCTCTCAAAAGAAGCAAACTGTATAAAAATGAGATGATATTATTTGATTAATTATGCGAAGGGTGTCCCTCTAGGGAACCATGGATTCTAGCACAATCTCTGGTGAATTTGAAAGTGGCACACACTTCAACCTGAGGATTTTTTTCTTTCTTTTTTTCCCCCCCACTAAGTACTGGGGCTTGAACCCAGTGGCCCACTACCAATAAGGGTATATATATATTTTTTATTTTGAAACAGTCTTGCTAAGTTGCCCAGGCTGGCTTTGAACTTGGAATCCTCCTGTCTCAGCCAACTAGTAGTTGGGATTACAGGGGTGTACCACCACGCTCAGGTAGAGGGTTCTTATTGAAACCATCCCTGTACTTGCCTGGGTTCACTCTTCTGCCATTAGTTAAGGGAGACCAGATGGCTGCATATTCAGATCCTCACGGGGCCACTCATTTGACTTAAGTTGTTTCCCTTCAGTTTTTTCTCTTTAAAGAATATTAATACCTACCACATGGATTTGGTATGAGCATTTAATGAAAATATAACAATGCAGAGATGTCCGGGTTAAGCTGTCTGGGGTTGACTGAAGCTGCATATCAGATTTTCCTACCTTAATAACCAAAGATACCAGTTACCTTTAGTTACTAATAAGTAGTACTTACCATTGTTAAAAGATCTCTCTCTCTCTCTCTCTCTGCTCCAGAGATTTAACCTAGAGGCAATTTACCACTGAGTCACAACCCCAGCCCCTTTTACTTTTTATTTTGAGACAGGGTCTCACTAAGTTGCTGAGGCTGGCTTTGAACTCGTGATCCTCCTGCCTCAGCCTCCCAACTCACTGGGATTACAGGCCTGCGCCACCGCACTCAGCTGTTAAATATCTTTGAAGCAGTGAAAATGAAAATTAAAAAAGAAAAAGATTTTTGAAGCAGACTCTCCAAACATTTTCCATTTAACCTATTACAACTCATAATTTGATGGAGAAGAAATTATTCCATTGAGCTGAAAATACAAGTTTCTACTATGGCAACTCAGGATTTATATTATGTTTTGTTTCCCTGAGAACTGGAATATTATGTTTCTTTTAACTATAAAATGTTAAAATATTTACTCATATCTGGATGCTCCCTTGGGACCTTCAGAGTCTAGACATACATGGTAGAGCTTTCCACAGCCCAGTATAAGGTGACACTAACCTGTCATAGAAAAGGTAACTCAGCTCCCCCTTTTTGTTCTGATCTGTGATGCCTGATGTAACTTCAATATTCATCAGTGTGACAACAGATCATGCAGGTGGGCTGGGTGGGGAAGGTGAGGGCTGGGAACATTTGTGAGACTAACAGCACAGGTGCTGGCCTGGGTGTTGAGGATAAACCCTCCTGAACTCATATTTAAGGGTTCTCAGACTCATGCAAATGCTTGTTCAATTTATGTAACTGTTTTTTAACCCTTGTCGTACCAGAGTTCAAACCCAGAGGTGCTTTACCCCTGAGGTACATACATCTCCAGCCTTTTTTATTTTTTGAGACAGGGTCTCACTAATTTGCTCAGGGCCTTGCTAAGCTGCTGAGGCTGGCCTTGAACTTGTGATCCTCTTGCCTCAGTCTCCCAAACTACTGTGATTACAGGTGTGTGCCACTGCACCCGGCCCTTTTTTAAAATTTGGAGATAGGATCTTGCTGAGTTGCTGAGGCTGACCTCCAATTTGGGATCCTCCTGCCACAGCCTCCTAAGTCACTGAGATAACAGTCAGGTACCACCAGCCTGCCTCCCTTCCCCCAACCTTTGTTTTGGTACTGGGAATTGAACCAGGGGTGCTTTACCGCTGAGCTACATTCCTGCTCCCACCCCCCTTTTTAAGAGGAAATAATTTTTAAAGTTTTTTTTTAACATTTATTTTTTAGTTGTAGTTGGACACAACACCTTTATTCTATTCTATTCTATTTATTTATTTATTTTTATGTGGGTCTGAGGATCGAACACAGGGCCTTGCATGTGCTAGGAGAGTGCTCTACCACTGAGCTACAACCCCATGCCCCTTTAAAGTTTTTAACATAATAAATAATAAATGTTTGAGGAGATCCCTGGCCCCTTTTTGAATTTTTAAAACAAGAATTTCACATAGCTGTCCAGCCTGGCCTTGAACTTGTGAGCCTTCTGCCTCAGCCTTGTGGGTTGCTGGGAATTACAGGCATGTGCTATCATGCCTGGCTCAATTTATATAATTCTTTAGAACACAAGCCAAACTACCGAGGGCTGGTTTGCTAGTAAAACATGCCTTTACATACAATTTAGTGATCTGATGGGAAAGGACAGAGGCTATCTAAATCTGCAAATTTCTGTAGACCAGCTAATTCAATAATGGATTGAAAAAGAGTTAAAAAAGCTTTTCTATGGTGGTCCGTCGCATGTGGTCAGCATTTAGTGAAAAAACAACTTGAAGACCTCTGGGAATGGTGTGTGACTTGTGAAGATGTGACTCCATGCTCCCGTCTGCCAGATGCCACTGGAGATGACGACTTCCTGAGACTTTGCACAGTGTCAGGCCACCTCTGATACTAGCAAGTTGACATTATTACTTCTTTCGCTCTAGATACTGTATGGAGTTCAAGACAGAGTCCCTGACTCCTCACTGTGCTCTGGAGAACCGGCCCCTGACGCGGTGGATGCAGTATCTCCGAGAGGGATACACCGTGTGTGTGGACTGTCAGCCCCCCGCCATGAATTCTGTGAGCCTTCGTTGTTCTGGAGATGGCCTGGACTCTGACGGGTAAGGGCGGGAACTGATGGAGGGACTTGTTACTCAGGTTGAGGATCTGTCCTCTCCACATCCAGAGTGGCTGACCAGGGTGTCACAAAAAGGCATGATCTGGGGCAGCGAGGAGGAACATCTGTGTAGAGCTGCTCCCGAGCCCAGGACTTCAATTTTCTCTGTGGAACTCGGAGGCTTTCCATACCACAACTGCATGGGTCAATTTGATTTGGGTCATTTAGGTTAAAGCTCTCAGATGACCCCCTGAAAATCTGTTTGCTCCAAAGCCACATTCTGAAGACAACTTGTATCTGAATCTCTTAGAATGGAGATTTAAAATATGCAAATTCTTAATCCCTCTTCAGACCAGCTGAAATCAGAATTTGGGGGAATGGATTTTTGTTTTTGTTTTTTTCCTAGTACCGGGGATTAAACCCAGAGGTGCTTTACCACTGAGCTACATCCCTGTCCTTATTATTTGATATTTTGAGACCAGGTCTTAATAAGTTGCTGTGTCTTCCTAAACTGCTGAGGCTGGCTTCAAAAGTTGTGATCCTCCTGTCCCAGCCTCCTAAATCTCTGGGATTATAGGTGTGTGTGTGCCAACAGACCTGGCTGATGTAGATT